GAGTGGGGGGGGCAGGGGGCTCGTTGCAGAGCCCCTCATGCAGCAGAGGGCAGTGGGGGGCAGCAGGGATTGCCCCCCCACCCCGCCTGGAAGCATAGTGAATGGGGACTTCTTTTTTTTTTTTTAAAGAGCTGGGACCTGGGAGAGCGGGCAGGGCAGCCATTGACAGCAGGCAGGGGATGGGACCGATTTGGTGGTGGCCGATTCTCCGAATCAGATTCGGCCGAATCGATTTGGGACAGAGATTTGAATCTCTGAATCGAATCGCTGTCCCCCGAATTGGCCAAATCTGAAGCGAATACTAGCTGCTTCGCACAGGCCTAATGTTCATGCCCCTGCAGTTGGAGCTGTGCATTTCCACTCCCACTGCAGTGCCAGCAGGATGCACAGTACACCCTAGGAGGCACCACCTGTTAAAGCTGCTTTGGTAGCTAGGAGAAAGCATGGGCAGGTTTATGCACACTTTCTGTCAGCTGCCAGGTGGTGGCAGAAGCTTCCCATTCAGAGAGCTGGCATTGGTCTGCTAGCAGAAAGAAGAGGTTCTGCCACAACAGGGGAGCCTTGAGATCCAGCCAAAGCTGTGAGGCACCACAGGAGCTGCATGGGGGTGCACACGTTCTGGCGGCTTCCATGTGTTGCCTGTTCTCTGTCTACAAAACTTCTGTCAAAAGAACTGTCCCCCTCCGCCCTGCTCTCCCCAGTGAAGCAAGGCTCTAGTCTAGTCAGGCTGTGTAGAGAAGGACTTTTGCCTGTAACCAGTCAGATGGCTGTGGCCAGCTCTAATAGCACCCCTATCCCCGCTGTGAAAATGTATTCTTTAAAACAGGGAAATGGGATTTGACAACCACAAAAATTGGCTGGGGGCTTGGAGCAGGCATTTATATGAAAGTCCTATCAACTTTCATTTATTGATTTATTTTTATAAACTGACAGTATTAGGCTGATGGTGTCCTTTCACTGTACAGCTTAGTATGTTGCTGCACGTATGTGTTATAAATTGTACCTTGCAGCATATCTTCTGTCACCAAGTGAATTTAGCCCTTGGGACCTTAATTTCCACATCTGCGGATTCTTAGAGATTTTATGAAACTTGAACATTGCAAGATCTTTGTGTATTTTGGCTTTTTTTATGGTTTGAAGGATTTGGATTTTGGTGGGGAGTGTTGCATTTCATATACTTGTCTCTTGGGTTGCCACTATAATGCAACCACCTCTGGAGTGGAATGCAGCAGCTATTTAACAGTGCACATTCATGTAGGAAAGAAAAGAAAGAAGATATTTTACATAAATGAGCCTATGGGAGGATTCTTAAACAGACAGAACATTATTTCCCTGTTCAGAGTTTGCCCTGATTGCTATCATTAAGAATATATAAGTAATGTGATATTAAAAAGGCCTACTGGTGGGCTAGGGTAGAAGGGATGTAAGGTCATGAATTAATTCGCCATTTAGCCCAGAAGAATATAATCTCTTAATGCTTTATATCCTATTAGTGAAGCCATTCTGGGAAGCCAGTGAGCAAAGGAACATGGAACATGATTCACCATAAGAGAAACCAGTTCCCTTCCAGGGCAGGCTGGCTTGCACAAATGAGACATGAATGGGCTCCAGAACCAGATCTGGGATATGTGAGCAGCCTGGCCACTCCTTTGGTTGGAGTGGTCTTGGGCAGAGACTCCTGTCTAACAGAAGCGTGTACTTCCCTTGCAGGAGGAGCTCTCTGTGCTGTTAACTGAAGTCCAGCAGCAAAAAAGGAACCTGGATGAACACATGAGCAAGCTGGTTAACAACAAAATTCGAATTGCGGTGAGTGCAGGGAGGAGTCAGCTTCCCAGCATTTGCAGCCGGGGCAGCCCCAGATGTGATCACTGGTCCTGACTGGCTAAGAATTATGTGCATCCTATTAGTTTCTTATCCTAGCTATCTTTATCTTAGCCAGCTTGTTTGTTTATATCATCTGCTTGGTATGTCTTATGTCTTGTCTCTTAGATTGCAAGCTGTCAGAGGCAGGGGCTTCCCACCATACACTCATACAACACCTTACATATCAGAAGCTTGACATGATTGGTCTTTGGGTACTCCAGCAATATGAATAGTAAATCCTGTAGTTCCTTATGTCCCACATTGGGAGCAGTTCCTCCTTCTGTCTCAAAAGTCCCACCAGACCAGTCTACATAGTGTCAGCCTCCCCTTGTTTCCATATGCTTTGCCAGCAGTAGTGGGTGTTTGGCAGGTGAGTAAGCACCTTGCTTCCTCAAAATAGCAGCAGGCAGTTAATCCTCCATGCCTGCTCCTTGTGGGGGAAGGGATTTGTTATTCTTCCCACAAGCTCTGAATTAAAAATAACTGTATTTTCTAGTGACTGTCTCTTGTGGCACAGAGCCACCTGGCATGAGTTTATGCTGGCTGGAAAATTCAGTGTTCAGAGCTGGTTTGACTTAATGTCCTTGCAGGTGAGATAACACTGGTGGAAAACACCCTGGCCAGAGCTGACTTTCCAACAAGGTCAATACTGATAGTTTATATTGCTAAAACATGGAAAGTGGGAAGTCAATAGACGGGCTAGATTTGGCTTGATGCTCATTTTCCATCAGATAATCCCTTTGAAGGCATTTTTCCATATTGGGCATCACTTCCTGACCCTGGAAAATGTGGTATTCCCCTATAGCAGAGGTGCATATGACATCCAGGGTATGGCACAGGAAACACTTGCACAGACTCTGCCTTCTCAGCTGAGTCTAAGTTGGGTGAGTGAAGCAAAAGCTTTCATTCCAGCCTTGTTTGCATTTGAGCCAAGGACTTAGTTTCCCTCACAGGAAAAGTGCGATTCAGGGGTAGCCAGACTTTGCCCAAGCAAGAACATCAGAACTCCGGCCTTCCAGAAGACTGACAATGTCTGATTTTCTTTGAACAGATATACTTTATTTCAGAAACAGCCTCTATAGGCTACAGGTCCTAGCATGCCATTCCAAATAAAATGGAGAATGACATGCTGTTCCTTGTAGGGCCAGATCCTATCAGGCAGGTAAGTGGACTAAAGTACACGTCTGATTCTATCCACTCTGCCTGAGTTCCTGAAAAACTGTTAATGTAAAAGATGGTGGTTGCTCCTCCTCCTTACTGCTTTTTTGTCACACAAGGCTAAGATGATGGTGTGTCACAAAAGTAAACGCAGGGATTTTCAGGGACTTGAACAGGGTTGGCTAGACTTGCATTTAGGTGTCTAATTCCACTTAGATGCCCAACAGGTGGAATAGGATCTAGTCTGCAGTCTTCATAAGTTGCATTTGTTTGTTAGGAAGTTAGGCTGTCTTGTAAAAGGCAGTGACCTGCATTTCACCTTTGGTCTGCCTTAGGGTCTGCTGACAAAGAACATCCTGCTGAGCTCTGCTTAGCAGAAACAGGCCAATCCACCCTGCCCCTGTCACAGGGTTTTTCCTGCCACTCTGGTAACTTGCAGTGTCCCTGCAGAATGAGTCAGATGTCTTCAAGTGGGTGATCCGGAAGGAGTTCCAGGAGCTGCATCGCTACATCGACGAGGAAAAGGCCAGCTTCCTGGAAAGCACTGAAATAAAGGCTGCTCGCCTCATTGCCTCTATTGAGTCCCACGTCAAGCAGACGTCAGACACCCTGAAGAAGTTAAAGGAGGTAGAGATATCATTGGAGAAACTCAACAATGAAAGTCAATTGGATTTCATCCGGGTGAGTCTTCCTGTCAAGGGAATATATAGCAAAACCCTGAAGAGGGAACAGCCTCCTCAGCTCACAGGCACATTTCCCCTAAGTATGCTACTGGGAAAGCAGTCAGTTGAGTTGCTCCCATGGAGCTTCCCTGGAAGTGGAAATCCAGGTACTCTCCCAGGCATCCCACTTATAGAGGAGAGAGCAAGGTATCCGACTCCTGCTCCCATGAAGAAAATAGAGCCACAGTCTTCACCACAATTTTCCCCTCCCCGTCAACAACAGGAAAAGATGGAGCTAGGTAGCCCCATGTATCCTGGCAAGGAGAGTGGAGAACTGGGCACCTTGCCATGCCTGCCTAGGGCATAGTGGTATAAATAATCAAGCACAATTCTGTTTCACTGGACCCTGTCCAGCCTTCTCTTCACCCCATCTCCCTTACACCACCCACTCCCATCCTGGTCCCTGAGTTCTCCTGCTCTCTTGTCTGTGAAACTTCCAGTGATCCTCCCAGCCTAGCAGTAAGGAGAGGAAGCAATTAAGATTCATCCTCTGGCACCTGGGTCAGATGGGAGCACAGATTGAGAGTGAGTGAGAGTGCTCTAGCAGGCAGGCTAGGGGATGCCCATGCCATGAGACCCCCGTGATGCCTGAAGACCCTGCATTATGCCCATGCTTTGAGACCCCCGTGATGCCTGAAGACCCTGCATATTCTTGAATGTGTGGCTGGGGCCCTGCCAGCACTAACTTCACCTTTGTACATCTTGTGTTTTACAGAAACACGGCTCAATCATCTCCAGGTGAGTGAAGTGCACCCAAAACATTTCACTCCCAGTAAACCCTCCTTGGAGCCTGCTGTGCAGTCATGACAGCTGGAACCAGAAATAGGGAAACATTTCCTAAGAATGGTTATGGACTGTGCCTATTCAGGGGACTGGTGTGAATTATAGAATCATAGAGAAGTAGGGCTGCAAGGGACCTCCATAGGTCATCTAGTCCAACCCCCTGCCTGAGGCAGGTTCAACTCTATCCAGACCATCCCACATAACCATAATCTAAACTTTACATAAGACTACCAGCAACCCTGACAAAACATAGACCTGGCACCCTAATCTGCCATGGGTAAAGCATGGGAACCATAGCAGACCCTGTCCTGTTTCTACAAAATGTTAACAATATATGCTCAAGATGTCCTGGGTAGAGGGCTATGCCCCTCGCTACAGAGGAAGGCAAAAAATCCCACAGTCCATATCAGTCTGATCATGGGGTAAAATTCCTTCCTGACCCCAAATATGGTGATCGGTCTGACCCTGAGCAGGGGGACAGGACCCCCTATCCAGGATCCTGTTTCTTTGATCCCAGCAGGAGTACTGGCAAACCCCAGTCAAAGTCCCCAGCCTGGGGACCCAATGCCTCTGGGAAGACTTAAAATCACCATGACGCATATAACATAAAGGGCGGCAGGGGGTGGGAGGGAGAGCATGGACACCTCTAGCAAAGCCTAGAAACATGGTAAATACCTGTGGTAAAACATAGGCATATCTATCTATGCCTAGATCATCCCCAACCAGTGCCTGTTCAGCCTCTTCTTGAACACCTCCAGTGGTGGAGAGTCCTCAAGTAGTGAAGAAGTCTTTTCTGGATATCTATTATAGACTTATTTTGCTGAAACTTTAAGCCATTGGTCTGTGTCCTCTTATCTTCAGCAAGAGAAAAAAAGGTGCTTTCCTTTTTATTTATGGCAGCCCTTCAAGTATTTGAAGACTAATATCATACACTCTCTTATGTGCCTTTTCCACAAGCTGAACATGCCTGTCTCCTTCAGCCTGTTCTTGTATGACTTCCTTTCAAAGCCCTTTATAATTTTTGTTGCCCACCTCTGGACTCTTGCTAACTTTTCCACATCCTTCTTAAAATGTAGAGCCCAGAACTGCACACAGTACTCCAGATAAGACCTAACCACGTGCTGGGTAGAGAGGTGCTATCATCTCCCATGCAGCGTTCCCTCTAAGCTGCGCGGCTGCGCAGGTGCGCTCATGCCTCATTGCCAGGCATGCCTGCACAGCCAAGCACACCACGCAGCTTAGAGGAAATACCGTTCCCATGTCTTGTATCTAATGCTTCTACTGATGCATCCCAAAACTACATTTGCCTTTTGTTTGGCTGCATCATACTGCAGACTTAAATTGAGTCTAACCTATTAGGACTCCCAGATCCTTTTCCATAGTGCTGCCATCCAGTGAGGTGTCACCCATTTTTGTTTTTATGTTTTTTGAATATTCTTTCCAGGGTGTAGCACTTTGCATTTGTCAGCACTGAACTTCATCCTATTAGCTTCAGACCAATTTCCAATATGTTGAGCGTCTTCTGAATTATGCTCGTATCCTCCAACGTGTTCACAGTCCTTCCCAGTTTTGTGTCATCTGCATACATGCTCAAGAAGCTTTCTATGCCAGCATCCAAATCATTAATAATACATTGACCAGTACCAGGTTCTGGACAGACCCCTGTCAGACTCAACTCAAAATCTCCTGTCATTCTGACATGGACCCATTAATAATTATTACCCTTTGCTTGCAGCTGTTGAACTAGTTATCTACCCACCTTATAGTAGTTTTATCTAACCCACATTTCTCCAATTTGTTTCTGAGAAGGTCCTATGGGACCTTGTCAAAAGCCTTGCTGAACTCCAGATATGCTGTATCTACACCATTCCCTTCACCCACCCAAGTAGTTACTTTGTCAAAGAAGGAGATCAGGTTGCTTGACACAATTTGTTTTTCATAAATCCATGCCGGTTGCTTGCAATCAGCCTTTCTTTCTCCAGATGCTTGCCAATGGCATTATGCAAGACATGCTCCAGTAACTTCCTGGATATTGAGGTGAGGCTAACTGGTCAGTAGTTCCCCAGGACCTCCTTTGTGCCTTTTTAAAAAAGAGGCACTATATTGGCCCTTTTCCAGTCCTCTGGTACCTGGCCTCTCTCATGACTTCACAAATATCATTACCAAGGGCTTTGAGATCTCCTCTGCCAGTTCCTTCAGGACCCACGGATGAAGCTCATACGGCCCTGCTGACTTGAATTAATTCAGACCCATCAAACACTCTCTGACCATCTCTTTTGTTATCTCCTCCTTCATCTTGCCCCCTTCCTTATCCAGATAATTCCTATTAGGTGTCTGGCTGAAGCTTAATTATTTTGTGAAGACTGAGGCAAAGTAATGGTTGAGTAGCTTCACCTTCTTTGCATCTTCGGTTAGGAGTTCTCCCTGACTTGTTAACAGAGGATGCACAGCTTCCTTGGTTCTTTTTTTCTGGCCAACATACTAATAGAACCTGGTCTTGTTGTCCTTAACCTCCTTTGTCAGGTGCAGCTCATTCTTTATCTTTGTCTTCCTGATTTTGTCCCTGCAGGTTCTTGCTGTTTCCTGGTATGTTTCCTTGGTGACCTGCCTATTCTTCCATTGCCTGTATGCTTTCCTTTTGTATTTGTGGCATTTCAGAAGCTCCTTGTGCAGCCATATTGAGATACCAGGAACCAGGGGGTACAGCTGCATCTTTTTTACTGCATTTCATGCTCTTACTGAATACTACAGTTAAGATGCAAGAAATGATAATACAGTAGTATGTCTTATAAGCTAATAGTATATCTAAAATTTCATCAGGTAACACTGACATAATAAAGAGACAAGATCCAATATAAAAATAGAGCAACAGTGAGGCAAAACAATCAAGAAACTTGAATTGTGGAACCACTGAAATGTGTGGCAGATGTGGCAAACCACCAAGCCACCAGTGACAACAATATTCAGCAATAAATAGAGAAAGAATATTTTGCAAGGGAGTGCAGATCATTTAGGCAATTGGAAGTAATTCAGGAGAAGGAAGTGCCATCAGATAACAATAAGCCTCTGCTACTAGGAACTATATCTTCAACAGAAGAATCAAAACTTGGTACAGTAATATAAATCTCAATGGTCCACTCAAAATAGACACTGGAACTGTAGTTACTGCTATCCCTGCAAAAGACTATAATCCATCCTGGGTCAGAGATATGAAAAGGTCAGATAAAATTCTCAGAGAGACAAGTAATGCAGCATTAGAAATGTGTGGCCAGTTCAAGGGGAAATTAGAAAAAAGAGGAAAAATTTTATCACACCCTGTCTATGCAATACAAGGTTCATCTTCAATATATGCCACCTCAAGAAGATCAACTACCAAGGAGACAGGGTCAGAGCATGAAAATGAAGCTTCTTCTCAAAGAAGTCATCATAAAGGTTCACTTAGACATGGGAGCTCTAAAAAGGTTCGAACAAGGTCTGGAAGACTAAGCAGAACTCTGCAGAATCTTGACCTTTAAACATCCATTTACAGTTTTAGGTATACATATCGATTGGCTGGGACAGCAGTGCAAATAGTTTTAAGGATTACAGTTTGTTGTTAAACTTTTGTAATATGTTGTAAGTTAATATTGTTCTTTGTAAAGAAAGGGAAATGTGAAGTGATAACAGAGTCCTGGCCCTCCACACCCAGTAGACAGGCTGTACTAGGGGGATTGTAATAAAGATTGGACAGCCTCTGGAGGGAGCCAGATTACAGCCATACTGTGGCTGCATGTGTCTTTGTCTCCCTCACACCACAGGTTCCATTCTCCTAGATAAGAATGGCGTGGTACCTACACACCCTCCATCTGGTATGGTTTAGGGTACTTACACACATGTGGGGAGCCTGCTGCAATGCATTGGAGATCTAGAGCATTGAAGCAGACTTGATTAATCGAGTCTGCTGGAGCATGTAAATTGATGTACTCTGGCAGCCTCATGTGTCATGTGTATCAGTGGTGCGGTGTGCCTCCGTGCTGAGAAAATGGTGGTGGTACACTTTCAACTAAAACATGTTCGATGTGCTTTAGTTCAAAGCACCCTGCCACCATTTTCTCAGCACGGGGATGCGCTGTGCCACTGATACACGTGACATGTGGGTACTTTTAATTAGCTCAGCTCGCTAATTTAAAATACCTGGCACTGTGTCAGGAGCACATGTAAAAATGCTTAGTGCCCACTCTTTGTCCTAGCTACCCAACACCAACTATCTGGAGTGGGAAGTGCAGCTCCCACATGGCAGCTAGAGCAGCCAATAAGATCCTGGTAGTTTTGCCTCACATGAGCACTTGCAATGTTCTTATCAGACTCTGTGGTGTTTTTGTCTCAATGCTATTTTTCTTCTAGGTCAGAGCTTCCCCAGCTGAATCCACTGGAAGGGACCTTCAGTGCTGTCTCCTTCAAGCCAGGCTTCCATCAAGATGACATCAAAATGACTGTATGGAAACGTCTGCATCGCAGAGTCCTGCCAGGTACCACGCTGTCCATACTAAGCTGCCTGTAGCATGTCCTATACCCACTTGTGCACCCACCTACAGCTTGAAGCAGGGTATCTATAAACAGACTCACAGCCTCCTGGCATGTACCAAGTTGCCTGAGTCAGATACATAAAAGTGTAGTCAGGTATATATGTAAAGCTTTATCTGACATGGTCACAATCCTGCCTACCTGAGAGCTCACAGGCAGGAGTGCCACACCCAGGCCTGGCCCATTAAACTGGTTGAACTCTGTCAGTGCTCTCTGGTATGTGGCCAGGCCTGCCTGTCTTCTCAGAGCGTCCCAAGTCCTGGTCTTGGTCCAACCCACATAACTGCTTGGGGTTCACTTGAGCCCAGCTGGTCTGTTCACACACTTGAGCTGAGTGGTTTACCCGGGGCTGGAAATCCCAGATGCTCAGGTCTCCCCCCCCCGCACCTCTGATTACCCTGTTTCTTTAGCTCCAGAAACACTGAAACTGGACCCGGCAACTGCACACCCTCTACTGGAGCTGTCCAAGGGAAACACGGTTGTGCAGTGTGGTCTCTATCAGCGCCGGGACAGCAATCCTGAGCGCTTTGACTCCAGCAACTGCATCCTGGCCAACAAGGGCTTCTCCTGGGGCAGGCATTACTGGGAGGTGCTTGTTGGCACCAAGAGCCACTGGCGCCTGGGCGTCATCAAGGGGACGACGAGCCGCAAAGGCAAGCTGAGCAAGTCTCCTGAGCATGGTGTGTGGCTCATTGGCCTGAAGGAAGGTAAGGTCTATGAGGCCTTCAATACTGCACGCACCACACTGCCGCTCACAACTCGGCCCCAGCGCATTGGCATTTACCTACACTATGAGAAGGGTGAGCTGACCTTCTACAATGCGGACAGCCCCAATGAGCTTCTTTCCATCTACACCTTCCAGGCAGAATTCCAGGTGAAACTCTACCCCATTGTGGATATGTGCTGGCATGAGCGGGGCACCAGCTCCCTGCCCATAGTGCTGCTCACACCCTCCATGATCCGACACACACGGTCTCCTGACAGAAGCTCTGACCCAGAGGAACCCACAAAGCTATAGATCTCCATTCAGAAAGAACCCCTCACTCCTGGGAATAGACACACCTTTCTCTGTGTGGTGATCTACTGCCAGGGAAGGGGCTATGGACCTACACTGTTCTCAGTTGTTCAGTCTCAGGGTTGGAATTGACATGGAAACAGGTTCTTTATCCATTAAGGGCAGAGAACAGGCATAAACCAAAGCAGCATGCCACACAAGTGAATATGGACCTGATGCCTACCTTTAGACCCACCACCATTGGTGAGTTCCATTTAGCCCTGCTGCCTCCTCCTTTCCCAGACTCTTATGAAAGGCAATAACAACTGCTGGACATCACTGACCATCACAGGCAAAGAGCAGCAGGCCCAGATAAACACCACTGAGCACATGTCTCTGGTTGTAGACAGTGAGCCGTATGACAGATGCTGTAGAGTTGCAGAATGCTCAGAGGCCATTGTAATAACTCTTTACATCTCCTAGGGGCTGGCTAGTGATTGTATTGTCTGCTAAATGGGTAAAGGATACTTCCTGTGAAAACAGCTTTGGTGTGTGTGGTTCATATAGACGTCTGAGGGCAGTGTCCTGCCCCAGGAGATTCTGGGAGTGGCTGGACTACATACAAAAAGCAGGAGTTTGGGACCTGAGGGACAGCCTGGTGGCAGCAAGAGGACCCATAATCACTTTAGAGCAAGGCTAGTATGGATCTTCAGAAACGGCTCTTCATGGCCTCTCACTGACCAGACTCCTCCCACATGCCTGCACTGAACTATTCCTACTGCTTCTGCATCTCTACCCAGATCTTGGGGGGAAAGTAGCTCCTACCTGTGCTGTGGATTAAGTTGACTTAATTCACACTTAAGGATTGACTCACAATGTCCCTAACAACCCCACTTCTCTCATTTTCCAGGCCTTCTCTGTGCCATTCTAAAAGCATGTAAATTCCATAGACAAGGGCCAAGTTAGAGACAAAATAGGTTTCTAAATTATTTTTTCTGTTCAAGGTTCCTGGGTTCCCCCTCAGCCATAGCGCTAGGGCAAATGGAGTCTGGAGCCTCATAGTTGTTCTTGAAAGTTTAATGACAGATACATAAGCAGCCTTGCAGATACAGAGCCCCTGGCACAGTCTTTTATGAGCAGGTATGCTGAGGAATGACTTATTTAGCAGAAATTAGTAGGCATTTCCTTTTGTGCAGCCATGGTGAGCTTGCATCTTGTCGTCTCCTGCTGCTGCAACCACGGGAGACTATTCAAATCTCCTTGGAATGTAATCTGTTTATGGGGAGGGCTAGATTAGAGGCTGTTGACCCCCAGAGAGGTTCTGGAGAATAAGGAAGGTATGAGAAGTCTGCCACTGTAAAAGTTCACTTAAGGAAATAGATTCAAATAAATTTTAATAGTAACTCTAATATTGAAATAAAAAAACAAGATATAAGTGATAAGACTGTAACAATTAGGCTTATTAGTACCTTTGATCCTCTGGATCATGGTATACACATAAGAGGTTTAATCAGGTGCCTGACATTGATCCGGGTTTTCTGTTTCCTGCAGAAAAATGTGGAAAAACATGGATTTTCCCCTTTGAAGGAGAAAAATGCAGATTTCCCCCTCTGAAGCAGGAAAACACAGGTTTTCCTCTTGCAAAGAGCTCTCTCTACAGGCTGGTAAAGTTCCAGCCTGCAAGAGCTACTTGCAAAAGGGTGGGAAGCCCTAAACCCTAAGGGAGGGGGTAGGGGCAGGGCCTGAAAATCCAAGTCAGCCAGGGCTGGCTCAGACTCACTTTCCCTCCTGCGGCCTTTGGGGTAAGTAGGGCTTTTGGGTGCTGGGCCCTGAGGATGGAGGGCAGCTGGGGGTCTCCTCCAGAAGGGATGGGGGGAGGGGCTGTGGGTCAGATGAGGGTCACGCTGCATGGGACAGCTTCAAGGGTGGGCAGGAGCAGGGCAGAGGTATGTGGGTGACAATCATCCTGTCCTGCACTGCGGGCTGAGGCTGGGGCAGGTGCAGGCTGCCTTGTTCCGCTGTGGCTCATCCCAATTGGGATGGGGCTGGGGCACTGCCCACCTGAGGTGGCAGTGACAGCAGCTCAACACGGGATGGAGGGCATGTGCTGTGCCCCTGCCTACCAGGCCAGGCACCCTTGGGGTAGGGTTGGGAGCTGGGGCTGGGGTGCTGCCCAGCTGGGGTGGTGTCCAGAGCAGGGGCCAGGGTGTTGGGGGCGAGCGTTGCCCATCCACTGTGTCAGTGACTGCTGCCCTGCTGCTCACTACACCACCGCATGACATCCTGGTAGCATGCATCTGTGATGGCTGCTGGCAGCGCTGCTGGGGTTAGCACTAGAGCCAGTAGCTGGGGATGCACTGCATGGCAGGGTGCGGGGAGTGGGGGGAGGAGAGGAGCGGCATGGCTAGCCCACATGCTGCCCTGCCCTGCACTGCACAGGGCCTTGTCAGCCTTGCCTGCCCCGAGGGGCTCCTGGTCCTGGTAACCACTCAGAGGGATTGTGATGGGCCAGGGGGGAGGGGTGGAAGTGGCAGCAGAGTCTATGTGTGTGTGTGATGGGCTGGGGGTGGCAGCAGGGGGTGTGTGTGTGTGCAAGAGAGAGAGATGGTGGGGGAGGTGGTTCTGTGGTATAAATACAATTAGAAGCTAAACATAATGATTGAATTTAGACATAATGCCTTTGTTTGCAAAATGCTTCTGTATTCGACATGGCTTGCACATGGCTTCCGCTTTAGCTTCTGCACATAGATTAAAGACATAAGATAAAAGACCCCCCTGTTAAAAACACACACA